CAACTTCCAGAATTCCCCAGCCAGCCATGCTGGCTGGGGAATTCTGGGAGTTGAAGTTCACTCATCTTAATGTTGCTAAGGTTGAGAAACCCTGCTATCCTGATCAGTGCTATCCTGATCTGAAGCTTGCTGGGCTGTTTTGGCATCAGCCAGTCTGGTGGTGCCATCTGCTGTGATTCTGCTTTTATTCTTTGCCTTTTCTCTAAGAACATCTTCTCTTTTCTGTTTTTAATCCCCTTTTAATTTAATTCCACTTTAAAAGCATTACAAATAGCATTTGTTTAAAAATATTAGTTATTAATGTTAAATATTATGTGAAATCTACATGACATATAACTATGACATAAAAGACTATACACTTTAAAGAAGAAACCTAACCCATCATATAAAAATCTACACCATGAGAGTAAAAAAACGGGGAGAAATCTTATAGTATACCAAGGGAAAGAAAAAAAAAGACAAGCCATAGAAGACTAACAGAAAAGTAAAAGTCCATTAAAAAAATGGAGCAATTAAACCAGAGGTCTCCAAACTCTTCAGCTCATCGACCCCTTCATGAAGTTTCAGATTGTTCATTGGCCCCCAAACTTTATTATATGAAAATAATTTAATAAACACTACTTTAACTAACATGCTATGAATCAGCAGCAGCAGCAGCCCCATGGATAGTCCCACTGACCCTTCTGAGTGGATACTGACCACTTTGGGGAACCCTCAACTAAACAAAATTAAAAAACATACACATCTCATATTAAATATGAGAGAAAGAGGCCCAAATTATATAACTTTCTTCAATTTCATTGTTGTTTTGAACAAGTAATTAAACTTAGATCATGTGGAATCACATTGTCTGGTCTTGCCTCATCTTTAATACAAACCAAGTTCAAAGTTTGAGAGTTAACAATTTTCATTAAGCCAACTTTTAGCGCCAGGCATATAGGAGTACATAAGCACTATTTTCACAATTGTCCAAACTCGATACATCCAAAGCTCTTCAGAGATGGAAAAAGTCCAGATTGTTGGGATATAATACTCTGTAACCCATGGCTGCCTTCAAGAACCTGGTTAACCATTGTAATAATATCCACCTAATAAAGATTTACAAGTGAATGCACCCATAACATAGGTACCAAAGTCCCTTCAAACTTATATCTCCAGCATAAAAAGGGTGACTGCCAATATTTTTAAAACATTATTTGAGGAGTCTAATAGACCCTGAAGAGATTTTTTTTGCTGAACTACTTGAGTTTCTTAGTCATAAGAAACAAATCTAACATTCCTTATAAGGGTCAATAAAACCTTTTTTTTTTTTTTTGGTGCTTTGAAGGCAGTGTTGACTCCTGGTGACTACCTGGACAAGTCCTGCAGTTTTCTTGGCAAGATTTCGGAAGTGGTTTGCCATCACCTCCTTCTTCCGAGGGCTGAGAGTGAGTGACTGGCCCAAGGTCATCCAGCTGGCTTCATGCCTAAGGCAGGACTAGAACTCACAGTTAAGATGCCTTAACCACAACACCCAACTGGCTCCCCAATAAGAAGACGACTTCTTACAGAAGTCATTTATGCCTGAAAGGAGATGCCTTAACACCTTATCTAACTTAAGATTAATCCACCTGCTTAATCAAGTTGAACTTGATTTTGAACTTCTTACTTTCTGGTTTTCCCAAATGGAGGAGAAAGACAAAACAGGTCTGAGATGCCATTAAGTTGGTCCCAAGAGAAGATAAGGAATTTAATCTGGCTTTTTGCAAAACAAGAGTGCCCAAAGTTTTACTTCTGCACTGGGTGAACAGAAAGATTACAGTTGTATATCTCTACTGCTGGTAGGCATTGGCAAAAGAATTCAGCTTTGGGCAGTTGAGGGAGGGGACACCAAGGATTGCCTCCCAGAGTCCTTCCACTTCCATTCCCAACCATACTGTGAGCAGCAGAGTCTCTGGATGCTGGAAGGGGTGCACAGAGCATGCAACCTTCCCATTCTAGAGCACACCAGCTCATCACCTGAAAGAGCTTAATTAGAAATTGTGCAGGGAATCATGGCCTGAACTTCTGACATTCTTCCCTATCCATTTTCCTTTTTTTTAAAACAATCATCTCTAATGAAGAGACCTCCAGGATGCAAAAACTTCTCTCACGTAGCATACTGTAGCCTTATTTTGGCCTGATGAAAGTATTGCCCAAATCTGGACTGGGGGATTTTTCTTAAGGTTAAAGCTGCTTGCTTTTCACATAGTTGGGCAAAAGCAAATGGACACACACCTATACTGCAATTAGATTCAAAGCACACTTTAAAAAGGGTTAAAAATATGTACCTTCCTGTGACACCAGTATGTTACCACCACACCCTTGCGGTCCTTGAGTCTTTAACAAAAAGTGTCCCAGGCCACAAAAAAAGTACACCTTCTTGCAAGTCAGTTGTGTGTATCTTTCTCCAATGTGTCTCTATGTATATAAAAAAACCCAGCCCTGCCTGTGGGTGTGTCTGTGGTGAGTCAGCCTATGCCCTTTCTGTAATGTTAATACAGGTTTCAGGCAGAGCTCATAGCTGCTTATATCCTGGGCCCACACACAGCAGCTACATTAACTTGCTTAACCTGATCAGTTACAAACTAACATGATAATCTTAGTTATTCTAACATTAAGTAGATTTTGTGTGTGTGCATGCTGATACACAAACCCAATAATAACCTATTTCATTAGTGTATTATTCCACATACTGTACAACTCCCTCAAATGGATTAAGTCAGTAACCAGACAGAATGTGCTCTGCGACTACGACTACAGGGTCAGAAAAGAAGAGAGGATAAGTGGAGGTTGTGTATGCATTTATATTCTCTGCCAGGGACAAAATACTAGTCCATTGCTTCCTGGAAAAGTAATTTTGTTTTGTGCCTAGATATGTAATTTTAAAAGGAGGGGGGTTACATTAATGGAACGTCAGTTTTTCATGTAGAAATCCTCTGGTTCAATCTACGTAAGGTTGAGAACTTGGAGCAATTAGGTAGCCATAAGCTGGAAATCAAAGACTGGGAGCTCCTTTCTCTGCCTGTCACACTGGCCTTCTGGCACCTCTGAACTGTCATTCTTAGGGCATCCTTTAAAACAGGAATTGGGAAGTTATGACCCTCCAGATAACACTGAACAACAACTCTAAATATTTATTTATTTATCAAACCAATTTATTCCCGAAATATTCCTCTAGTTGGCTGCTTAACTGGGGCTGCTGGGAGTTGTAGCTGTGGACATCTGGAAGTGCAGCCCCAGATTGCTCACCTTTCTTCTATAGTACAAGGTGTCTGACATCCCACAGATCATTTGGGCACCTTCAGATACTCTTATGCACAACCAAGCTACTGGTCTGCAACTATTTACTCTGCCCTTCCCTCCAGAGGCCCCATAGCTCCTAGAATCAGCAGGTAGCAGCATCTGGCTGGTATTGAGTGGTCTTAGGAAGGGTTCAGACCAGGTTTATCCTACCAGCAAAGACCAGGGCTGCAGCGATTGGGAAGTTGATAAAAACAACACAGTAGGAAGCAACTGTGAGCCACTTCCATACTGTTGCCAAGAAAATTACATGGTTGTGTCCCTGAGATCACCAGTTGAATTGCACATGAAGGAGACTTATTTTACCCTGACTATCTGCAGTTCTGCAGTTAGGAACATCAGGGGCTCCCCACCTGGTCCTGGAACCTTTTACCTCAAGAAGCAATGGATCAACCGGGCTCACCTTCTGCACCCAACGCAGGTATTCTGCGGCTGGCCATGTCCTCCTTCCCCAAATTAAAAAAAACAAAAACCTGTAATGCTCTTGACAGGGATCTTTTGTAAGTTCTCCAGCAGGAACAGCCGCACAAAAACCAGAGTGTTCTGGACCAGAACTCAGCCCAGGGCACGCATCAAGTAACGGAACGAAAGTAAAGCCGGGGCAGAGCATGGCAGGTCCCCTGTCCCTTCCCGGGACTTAAGCACCACCAGTCCACGAACCTCCTCCCTCTCCGGTTTCCGTTTCCAGCCTAGCGTTAAAGCGTCTGAACAGCCCGATTCCTCGCCCGCAGCGCGAGGCGGCTGCCGATCTAAAGTTCACAAAGGAAGGAAGCCGGTGCAGACGTGCGGCAGACGGGAAACGCCAGCCGTGAGCCTCCTCGTCCGCTTGAATAACCGGGCTAACCCGAGCGCGGTGGGTCGATCGCCCCGGGGGGCTGAAAAGCGCGGACCTCTCCCCTCCGTCCGCGCGCAGCTGCAGCGGTTCCTCCCCGGCCGGGGTTGCTGCAAAGCGCCTTGCCCCTTGGGCTACTCACCACGTGCAGAGTTTTTCCTTCAGGCGGATCCAGAGGTTCGAGGCGCAGCAGGAGCGCGGCGGGGAAACCGCTGCTGCTGTCGCTGTCCCCGCCGCCACCGGCGGAGCG